GATACCCGTAGGACCCAGGCCAGGCTCATGAGAGCCCTACCTTACACTTTGTGAGAGCAAAAAATTGGAAAAGAGGCGTGATGTTTCTCTGGGAAGGAAAGCTTTTCTGAAACTGAAGTCAATACAGTCAGGAGACACTTGAAGTAATACAGAAAGGGTTAATGGGTGACTTGATGTAGATGGATGGAAGGAGTGGGCACATGGCAAACATACCTTTGAAGTAGATTTGACTGGCCTTCCTAATGAAATAGAAATAATGAAGAAAAATAGTAACATTTTTGCTTTATGAGACTCTGTTTGGTGGGGCCAAACAGAGTGAGGAAAAGACAAAGAAACTCGGTTTGGTGAATGAGGAACAATAAATCTCTTCTTGCACTTGTTTAATTTGAGAGAACGTCAGCCCTTTTGAGTGGATATGTCAGGAAGACAATTGGATATATGAATCTGGATCTTAGGAGAGTATATGAACTGTATATACAGGTTGAAATTGGAACAGGTAAAGAGTGAATAAAGATAATTTAGCAGGGCCCAGGTTAAGCCTTAAGAAATTTCAACAAAGTAAGCTGAAAAGGAGCAGAGAATAAAACAAAAGATAGAAATGTCAACATTTATTATAATCCTTTTACAAACTATGAATCATGATGAAGAATCTTAGTAGATGCTTAATTTAAAAAATGTTGAATCTGGCCTTTGCTGTCAAAAAACACCTGCCATCCCTTAGGACTATTAAAGCAAACGTCTATATGAAGTTACCACTTTATTGCTATTTAGAAAATTGTGCTTTCCGTAATGTCTATTCATTTCTGCTGAGGATAGTTTTCCAATTGACCATTTGTTCCCAGCAAAAAATAAGTGCCAAAGATTCTGAATTCTTCGTGAAGCTACTGGATCTTTATAAACCTGCAACAAATGTCACTTCATCTTGAGGGCTGTGAAAGAAAGTCAAAGAGGGGTGCAGAGGCCAGTGTAGTGAGGAATGCATTGGTAAGTTGTCAAACTTCCTCTGCATCTTTTCAAGCACAGCACTTTGGATGAACCAAATGTTCTATCTTGCTGAGGACTTAAGGGAAAGAAAAAATGTGTGAAGTTTCACAGAAATAATTCTAAATTTAGACAGAATACAATTATTTACACTATTATACAACAAAACCATTAGTTGGTGCTTAGTGACTCATCATGATTCCATTTTTTTGGATCATAAGAAAGAGAAATTCCAAATGGCAAATTACATCAAGCAGTAGGCACTGCACAGCAATATGATACTTTTATAAGGCAAAGTAACTCCATGTATTAGTGTATATAAGTCTCCTGAACTGAAAGAAGGCGTAGCCTCCATTTGACAACATGGTGACTATCTGGGCATTGTAGATGCCATACTAAATAAGAGAGAGAGAATCACTGCTCTCATGGTCTTCAAATTCAAGTAAACAAAACAAATAAGTACAGAAGAATGTACTAGTTTAAGATTATGATAATGACTTTTGTGAAAATAGAGAAACAACAGTGATTGGGGTGAGGGGGAATTATACCAGTTGGATAAGTTTGGGAATTATGGCCAATGTGCATCTTCTATTACTTCCATGAGAGCATGTGGCTTGTGCTCATTTACCCATTGTTGCTAGTAACAGTTGCTCTCATTGTAGCTGATGGCACTAGAAGGAAAGGAAACATTGCACCTTTTCCACATCTATAAGATCTTTCTTCCAGATCACATATGTATGAAATCTGTAAGGCCAAAATATCCTTCTTTTATCCAAAAACTCTTGGTACTAAATGCATTTTTGCCTCATATCCATGCCTTCTATCCCAGCCTCTGTGAGAATTCAGTGTGAACTGTATGTCATTGCGGCAGTGTCGCTGTGAACACAAGTTCTCTAAGCTGTCCCTAGCTCTATTCTCATGTCTATGATTCTTAGTATGTCTGTCCCCTCATCTAGCATCCACTCATACTTTCTTTGCCTCCAAAATAATTTCACTAGGCTTTCTGGAACTCTTTCTATAAAACCAGTAAATCCTTACAACACTACCAGCTTCCTCAAACATTACTTTAACTAAAAAATTAGGTGAGGGGGCCTGGGTGGCTCAGTCAGTTGGGTGTCCGACTTTGGCTCAGGTCATGATCTCATGGTTCGTTGGTTCGAGCCCCGCGTCGGGCTCTGTGCTGACAGCTTAGAGCCTGGAGCCTGCTTCGGATTCTGTGTCTCCCTCTCTCTCTGCCCTTCCCTGGCTTGTGTTCTCTCTATCTCTCAAAAAAATAAACATTGAAATTTTTTTTTTAAAAATTAGGTGACTATTGAGAAACCTTTTATAGCTCTCCCAAACAGAGGTTGTTCAAACATTCTAGAAAATAATAGCCAATAATGACAGTAAAGTGTATTTGTTGGTGTATTTATTGTGTATTTCCTGTGTACAAGCACTAACCTATACTATACATGAATTTATTTCATATATAAATTTCATAAATGTATTTCACTTAATTATTACAGCAGTCCTACAAGGTAGGTAATTTTATTCATGTTTTAGAGGTATTATACTGAGGCAGAGAGAGAGATTAAACAACTTTCTCAAGTCACAGAACTATATAGAGAGACGAAACCATCAAGGGAGTCCATGCAGTCTGAATCCAGAGCTGATGCTCTTGGGCAATACTATCTTCTTTGATAGTTCATGGGTTACATGTGGAGCTTGAGTTCTCATTGTTGCCTTGCTCTACAAAAGCTCTTCCATACACTTTTAAAAACTCCCGTTCCTCATTGTTTTCATCTACCAACCTCTTGGCCAATTCATCTCATTCACTCAAGATTTTGGTACCTAGCTCAGAGTATCCCTTTTCTCCTTGATTTCTGCCATCATCTCAGAAAATTCAATGTCCATGTGGACAATCTACCCAACATCTTATTTTAAAGGTTCCCTGGGGCGCCTGGGTGGCGCAGTCGGTTGAGCGTCCGACTTCAGCCAGGTCACGATCTCACTGTCCGTGAGTTCGAGCCCGCGTCAGGCTCTGGGCTGATGGCTCAGAGCCTGGAGCCTGTTTCCGATTCTGTGTCTCCCTCTCTCTCTGCCCCTCCCCCGTTCGTGCTCTGTCTCTCTCTGTCCCAAAAATAAATAAACATTGAAAAAAAATTTAAAAAAAAAATAAAAATAAAAATAAAGGTTCCATGACTTCCTTATCATTAATGGTACATTTCATACTGTCTCCACTGACAAATTATCACTGAAATAATTTCCACTTCCAAAATCACAAACATTTCACTCTCTGGTGAAAATTCCACATGCCTGCTCAGGAGCCTCAACTCTCAGGAACCTCCAGCTCCACTGACCTCTTTACTTTTATTCCAAAATATCAAACTCCTTACATTTTTTATTGATCTACAATCTTTAATTTCTGTTATTTTGGTACCAATACACTAACCTCCCTTGTCCATTCATTCTCTCAAAGCCCCTGATGGGAAAAACCCCAACCCTGAACCCAACAATCTTTATTCCCTGTGTCTGTATCTACATTCAGATACCTGAACACTCCTAAATGGATTGACACTCCTACGAATTCAAAAAGTGCACAATCTTATTTTTTTTAATATGAAATTTATTGTCAAATTGGTTTCCATACAACACTCAGTGCTCATCCCAACAGGTGCCCTCCTCAATACCCATCATCCACCCTCCCCTCCCTCCAACCCCCAAAATACACAATCTTAGTATCATTCTCTAATCATCTTGATCTACTTTCTATAACAAATATTTCATATTTCATCCATTATTTACAAACCATGATACTTTTTCTCTACTCGTTACTCTCAGCAGATGATTCCACTGTATTAAACTACAATGATCGGAGGCATCAAAAAGTATTTCCTTCCAGCATTCTGCTGCCAAGTATATCACTAACCTGCATTTATACCAATCATCTCCTCCTGCTTTCCTAATACAAAAAAAAGTACATGTTTCTCCTCTTCTTGAAGGCCAGATCCTCTACATGTAATCTGTGTCCCCTCCCTGTCACATTCTCCAGAATGTGTGCCAACATTTAATACTTTACTTTCAGAGTATCTGCAACCCACAACAAGTTTTGTTGTGGCCCACAATAAGAAATATATATTACATTGCAGCACAATATATACATATCATACATGTATACTATAAGTGTCATATATAATATATACATTTACAATATATATAAGATGTATCATGTATAAATATACAAAATATTTCTTACTGTGGATTGCAGTAGACAATTTATACAAATAAATTTCTTTTTTTTTTTTAATGTTTATTTATTTTTGAGAGAGAGACAGAGACAGAGCATGAGTGGGGGAGAGGCAGAGTGAGGGAGACACAAAATCCGAAGCAGGCTCCAGGCTCTGAGCTGACCACTGGAACCCACAAGCTGTGAGATCGTGACCTGAGCCGAAGTCAGATGCTTAACCGACTGAGCGACCCAGGCGCCCCCTAAACAAAATTTCTTAAGATAAGATTATTTTATCATGCATGATATGCTGATATTCTGTCTTCTTTTCTTTTCTTTTTTTTTTCTTTAATGCTGGTCCCCACTCACTAAGTTACTGTCACAACACACTAATGAGTCATAACTTGCAGTTTGAACCACAGTGAATTATTCTGTTCCTGATAACTTCACATTTAAATTCTTCCATCTAAAAATTTTTAAAAAGGTTTCACCCTAAGGGCTCCTTCAGCTCATGTCTTCTATACACTTAGACTTACACGAAGAGTTATTTAATTTTAGTCTCCACTATTTGTCCATTAACTTCTCAGACCAATCTAACCTGTATTCTGTTCCACTATTCCATGAGAACCACTTTCCTTCAGTCTGCATTAGCTGCCTGTAACTAAATTCAGTGGACATGGTTCAGCTTTCACCCTACTGGATATCTCAGCAGCATTTAATGGTTGGTCACTCCCTCCTTCTAGAAACATAAATTTTTCCTGGCCTCCTTGATAGCACATTCCATTGGCTCCCCCATCCCCTTCTCTCTGCTTACCTTATTTCAATGTCTTTTTGCTGTCTCTTCTGGCAGACTCTCAAATATTAGAGGCCATTTATTCATTTCTCTCCTCTTAGCATCTCCTTCTTACTCCTCCTTTAGCTCTTGCTCTCCTCCTTTAGCTCATTGTTAGAATTTAGGAGACAAGTGAGACATCCTATTTATAGGCTAGAGGCCTCTGGACATCAGCTATGTAATAAGACTTCCTGCCCCTGGAGAATATACAAATGTTCTTAATAATTCAGGATCCAAAAAAAAAAAAAATAATTCAGGATCCAAATCTTCTGAATCGCTTCCAGGCATATGCAGTTACATAACAGAAAAATACTGCTTTTTATATTCTATGCTCATGATCCTGACTGCTTTAGCACATTTAGGATTGACTTTATAATTTTTGGCGTATCAAAGAATATCAAGATTTCATCTACATTTCCTATTTAGTTAAATTGAAGGTTTCCTTTTCTCCCTAAAAGACTTATGTATCTCTGGAAGTTAACAGCTTCTCTTGGAAGTCAGCTGGAAGCCTTTGAAAGTTACATGCTCAGTATCTAAGACATAGATATTCATGATGTATGAATCATCACAGCAAACTTTCCTAGCTTTGAAAATTGTGCGTTCTGTTCCAAGGGATTTGGCAATTTCTCCCATCCTTAATTGCATTGTCTGGAGTATGACCAGCAATCCTTTTTCAGATGTCTCAATGAGAAAATGAAACTCATCTTTATATCCGTGTGTATTTTTCTCTAATTAGGTACTATAAGTCACTTGGTTGATGCTTTAAAAATATGAAGATAATGCTCCAGCAACAAATATTTGCTCAGTTTATAATTTCTCATCTTGCAGATCTATGTTATGCTCTTCTGAACCTAATGCTTTTCACTTCAGTGTTGCATCCCAATGTAATAATTTTTTCTGAATTTTGGGCTGCAATTATGGTTCCAAATTAAATTAAAATTCAATCTTCTGTTTGGTTATCAATTTGCAAGTAACCTAGCTGAATCGATAATTAGATAAACATTCACCTACACATAGTTAAATTCACAGGCAGGGAGGACCATGTGGCAAATTACTGCTTTACCAATGTTTTGGGATTCAATGTGGATTATGATGAAAAACTGGGCAGAGGACCCAAGTAGACATCTTTCCGAAGAAGACATACAGATGGCCAAGAGACTCATGAAAGATGCTCAACATCACTTGTCATCATGGAAATGCAAACCAAACCAGGAGATACCACCTCACACCTGTTATCATGGCTAAAATCAAAAGACAAGAAACAAGCATTGGCAAGGACGTGGAGAAAAAGAAACCCTTGTGCACTGTTGGTGGGAATGTAAATTGGTACAGACACTGTGGAAAACAGTATGGGAGTTCCACAAGTTCTATTTTATTTTTTAAAGCAATACCATAGGATCCAATAATTTCACTAATGGGTATTTACCCAGAGAAAATTAAAAAAAAAAAACAAACACTAACTTGAGAAGATATATGCACCACTATATTTATTGCAGCATTATTTGCAGTAGCCAAGACATGGAAGCAACATAAGTGTGCATCAAAAGATGAATAGATAAAGAAATGTGATATATATACATAATGGAATATTACCCCACTATAAAAAAGGATAAGATTGTACCATTTGAGACAGCATGGATGGAACTAGAGGGTATTATACTAGGTATAATAAGTCAGACTAAGAAAGACAAATACCACATGATTCTGGCCATAAATGGAATCTTAAAAAATAATAAACAAAAAGCAGAATCAGAACGATAAATACAGAGAAAAACTGATGGTTGAGAGGAGTGGGGGTTGGGCAAAATGGGTGAAGGGGAGAGGCCTCCAGTTATGGAAAGAGTACATCATGGGAATAAACAGTAGAGGATACAGAGGACAGTCAATGATATTGTAATAGCGATGTAATGGGACAGATGGTAGCAATACTTGTAGTGATCATAGCATAATATATAAACTTGTCAAATCACTAAGTTGTGCACCTGGACTAATGTAAATTGTACATCAATTACACTAAAAAACAAACAAACAAAAAAACCCAATAGTGTAATGAAAATGGCAACATCACAAACCAATAATAAGTGATGTTACCTTAAAATTTTTTCAACATGGATTATATAATGTACCTCAATTTCAAAATGTTAAGATGTGGAGAGAATGCACCCCTGAATAAAATAAAAACAGCCTTCACTAAAATTTTCTGATTAGATTAATTAATGAAATAGCAAAGAATTAGTATGCACTTTGGTTTTCGTGGTTTAGTTGTTATGGGGACAGGCAATTATAAATTTATAGTGATATGCTGTAAATTAAGTGACTTACAGGAAGAAAAAGCCCAAATTACTGAGTCATCTCTGGAAAAGGGTTGACTGAATTTCATATTTGGAATGTTTTACTCAATAGTAAAAGTACACCTATTGAAAAATAATTCAAGTCCTGTTAACAATTTGCTGAAGTTACTAACAAAAAACTACTTTTACTCCTAAATTTATGAATGTTAAAAATATCAACAATCAGGGTGCCTGGGTGGCTCAGTCGGTTAAGCATCCAACTTTGGCTCAGGTCATGATCTCACGGTCCATGAGTTCAAGCCCCACATCGGGCTGTGTGCTGACACCTCAGAGCCTGGAGCCTGTTTCAGATTCTGTGTCTCCCTCTCTCTCTCTGCCCCTCCCCTGCTCATGCTCTGTCTCTGAGAAATGAATAAACCTTTAAAAATTCTTTAAATAAAAAAGTGTCAACAATCAAAATTTGACTTGAGTACAGAAGTACCCTTTAAAATATATTAGTATAAACCAAATAACTTTCAACTCTAGTAGGCTTATTTGATCACCTACTACATTGTTGTCCTGATTCCTTGTATGTGTCAACATGGCCAGTCAGGAAATAAAACCTCCACATTAAATGCAATGCTTTTACCAGTCCAACCAACAGCAGTTCAAAAGAAGGGACAATGGTTCTGAAAGAGACTCCCAAAATAAAGTTGAAGATGTTTCCGTAGTAGGAGTTTTCCCAAATATGTAATCAAACGTGGCCATTATAATGACCAAATAATTTCCCCAAATATATAATTTCCAAAAATGGTTGTGGCAATATACTGATTGGTTTGGCAAAGGGGTATAGATGGTAAAATGTAAACTGCAGAATCAGTTGACACAAAGGTTGGCCCTGGTCAGTCAGCCTCACGATATTATTTCCCTTCTTAGGAAACAATATTGAGGAAAGATAAAGGCACAGACTGTGAGTCAGATTGCCTAGCTTCAATGGTAACTTTGCCTTTATTAGCTGTGGGATCTTGGGCAGGTTATTCAAACTGTCCTTTAGTTACTTCTGTAAAAGAGGGAAAATAATAGTACCTACCTTATAAGGTTATTTGTATGAGCAAATGATGGAATACAAGTAAAGAACCTGGAATAGAACTGGAAAATAGTAAGCTTTTGGTAAATGCTAGCTACTGATATTATAAATTTAATGTGAATGTTTGTTTTCTAAGTTGGTTAATAAATTGCTCTAGGGCAAGGACCAACCATTGATTTTATTTTCATTTCCAATATTAGCATGCAGTAGGTATTCAGTGAATACCTGTTGAAAAAATAATAGAAAGTGCATTGTATCTCAGAAGGACATTATAGTACTAATGAGAATTCAGATTCTAGATCATAAGGATTCTATGTGAATCATTCAAAATAAAATAATTATACTAAAGCAATACTGTAGATAAATTATATACACCCATTTTTTCAAAAGTCTACAGATATGTTTAGGCAGTTGTTATTTTCAAAAGACTATGCTGCCAGCTTTTAAATAGAAACATCTAAGATCAGCATTTCCTAAATGAATGTTTTGTGCACATATTTATCGGGTTATTGTCTATAAGAGTTTTTTAACATTATGATCTAATTTGTATGTTAAGATATTTAATAAAGTATATTCTAGATCATTTGAAGACCATCTTAAACCTAATAACTGCTTTATAAATTCAATACCCAGTTTATATATGACTATTAATGTTCAACTGCTTTTTATTATACTTCTTCATTTTATTCTTCTTTTATATTGATAAAAACTCACATACTATGTAAGCAATTTAATAAAGTTTTAGGATTAACTTTGAGAAACGTAAATGGAAACAAAAGACAATCCATAAAATAAAAATGGATAAATTGGACCTCATCAAAATTAAAAACTTTTGTTCTACAGAAGACTCCATTAAGAGATTTTTAAGATGAACTACAGTCTGGGAGAAAATATTTGCAAACTACACATGGGACTAGTATCTAGAATATAAAAATGACAAAGCATAAGTATCTGGATTATTGAAGGACTCGCAAAACTCAACTGTAAAGAATATCCAATGAGAAAATAGACAACTACTAATGGACATGTCACCAAAGGAAAAAATAAAATTGGCCATCTATATACAACCAAAGAGGACAAACTGATGGCATGTAAAAAAATGTTCAACATGATTTGCCATCAGGATAATGAAAATTAAAAGTACAATGAGATCTTATTACACACCTATCAGATGGCTAAAATTAAAAATAGTGACAATAGCAAATGCTGGCAAGCATACAGAGACACTGGATCACTCAAACATTGCCAGTGACAAAGTGAAATAGCACAGCCCCTGGGAACATTTGGCAGTTTTCTTATAAAGGTAAACACACACCTACTATATGACCCAGCAGTTGCACTCATGGACATTTATCCCAGAGAAATGAGCACTTATGTTCATGCAAAAACCTATAGACAGATGTTCATAGAAGCTTTACCTGTAATAACTAAACACTGAAAACAACTCAGATGTACTTCCACGGATGAAAGATTAAACAAATTGTGGCACATACATACCGTGGAATACTACTGAGCAATAAAAAGCAATGAGTATTGATACATACAACAACTTGGATAAGTCTCCAGGAAATTATGCTGAGTGGGGAAAAAAAAACAATCCTAAAAGATTTCATAATTTAAAATTCCATGCATAACATTCTAGAAATGGCAAAAGTATAAAGATAGAGACCAAATTAGTGGTTGTTAAGGATTAGGGAAGGCAGAAGAGCTGGAGAGCATTTAAAAAGTTATAACAGGTACTCTGGTAGTGATGTAACTGTTTTGTATCTTGATTGGGATGATAGTTACCTGAACTGATACTGATACATGTGACAAAATTGCATACTACTAAACACACACACACACATACAAACACATATGCACAATATGCACACATGCAATGAATACATATAAACCTG